TTTGAATGAAGATTGTGATTTGAAGATTCTTTGTTGAAGTGGGTGTTTGGACGTACCCAATTGTTTGAGAAAGGATTCCTTTTTCCACAGAATCCGTCTTCTAGCTGTTGTTCAAGAATTCAAGACTGTAGCACTTTACTCTGTTTGTCTTCTAGTGCTTGTTTAGGAATTCTGGACGGGCTCTTCAATTTTAGAGGCCTAGACTTTGTCTTCGAGTAATTTGTTCTTGAATCAGCATAATTATCTTCAATCTAGCCGTTGAAAATCAAGAGATTGATTTTTCCTTACCAACGGGTAGAATTTCTTCATTCAAAACTTAGATAATTTTTCTAAGTCTTTTCTCACTTGTCCGCTTTCTGAGAATTCCGGTCTTCAATGAGTCTTCCGATGCTTAGCTGACAAATCCGGAGAAGTCATTCTTAGACTTCCGGGTGAGATAAAGATCCGCGCTAGTCTTCCGGTTTGGATGACTTAGCCTTCAGCGGGTTGTAGCGAGACATCCGGTACTTAAGTAGTCTTCCGGATCAGAGGATTTTCATCTGATTGCCAAATCCTTACTTGTCTCTGACATTTCCGATCAAGATATCCAATTTCCATATCACCGAAAAAGATTAAGTCTTCAGGCATCAAAATGCTTAAAGAAATATCACAGCTTTATTGGAGATCTCAAGAACTCGGTTTTGACAATATTTCTAAAAAGAAAAATTACATTGAATATTGGGGAAGACCTAAAGTCCCTATTACATTCTAAATACATCATCATCAAAATCTATAATATTTTTCCCAACAGGGAATGATATGGATTGTTTGGAACAACGTCCAACATCCAAATGGAAGGGAATTGGGGGAGATGTGGTGAAAGGTTTATCATTCTCCCCTACATCAAACACGGGTTTATCACGTTTTCGTACTAAAGCCGTATTCGTTTTCATGACAGGTTTTGATAATGCCAAACCGCCATGAACGAGACAAGTTGTTGAATATACAAGGCGAGAAATAAATATAAGAATAAAGCAAGAGAACAAGATCTAAAAGAGACCAAGAACGAAGACCGTAGTCTATAGCGTCATCGAGTCGGTCACAAGGTGATCAAGACCGACCCAAGCTTTGCACTTTGGCTCTTTAGACTAAAACATTTTTATTGCATTTTACATATCATAAAAATTATTTTCAAACATGCTTAAACATATTAAAAACACTTGGTGTTCGCCCAAACCAAAAACCAAGCCATCCGGGGTTCAGCTTTCGGAAACCGACGCTCGGTTTTTCAGAAACCGGCGTTCGGCATTCGGTTATCGGCGTTGATTTTTGGCGTCCGAACCAACCAAGTGGTTTTAAAGTTTTTATGATTTTTGGTTTTTAATTCTGGGCACATTTAAATAGTTTTCCATCAAAAACACTTCAAAAACCACCTTTCGTTTTTTGTTGTTTGATAAAAACCATGTGAAACGGCATAAACTTGGCTAGCCGTGGTTTTTACTTAAATGAAGTGGTTTTCAAGTATTTTTGTGTGGGAATTGTTTTTGAATGAATTTAAATGGTTCTCCAATCAAAACATCATGAAAATCACCTTTCGGTTTTGTCTTTTGGTAAAAACCACCCGTGTACGGTGTGGACTTGGTCAACTGTGCTTTTTACCTTAACGACATGGTTTTCAAGTTACAAAGCTTGTTTTGACATCACAATACGTTAAATAAGTGTTTTATATACTTAGTTTTTACTTTGGAGAACTTTGCATTTTTCGGTCGGGTTTCAGCGCCGGTGAGCTAGGCCATGGTTCTGGGCTAGCCATCTACCCAGCGATGGTAGATATCACCCATCCATGGGTAAGTGATTCCGGGATTCCAGAATCATGCCACGCAGCAATGGGAGATATTACCCAGCGATGGGTAAGCAGCCTTCAGCCCAATTGAATTCCAGAACCATGCCAAACAGCGATGGGAAGCTCTACCCATCGCTGTTCAAGCCTTGGTCCAACATTATCACAAGGCAGAATGCCCTTACCCAGCCATGGGAGATATTACCCATCCATGGGTAAGTGACTTCCCAGCGATGGGAGGATATTACCCAGCCATGGGAAGGCATGACCGTTGGAAGTCATTTAAGGTTGATTCTTTCCTTGTTTGGAAGTCAACCTCCCACCCAGCGATGGGAAGCTTTTACCCATCGATGGGTAGGTGACCGTTGGCTTCAAAACTGAAGGAAAATTGGCTTACCAGCGATGGTTGAGTCTAAACATCGATGGGAAGCCAATATCCTGCAGATCCCAAATTTATTCAATCCCATAAATCAAGCCAATCACCCCTTTAATGTATTGGTCCGTTGGAGCCTATTTTGGCACTATAAAAAGGGGTGTTTGGGTCTGCTTTTATCACCAATTCACTTCATAATATTCATATTATCATTGCATCCAAATCACATTATCTTCCATAGCTTTCTAGAGCCAATTTGTGTGAAGTTTGAGTTGTTCTTGAGCGTATATATTTTACTCATATCCACTCTTAAGGAGAGTCTTGTTCTTGAGTGTCTTAGTGTTGTATACAAGTTAAGGGAAGCTTGTTTCCCTTGGTTGTACGAAGGAAAGGTATTTTCCTTCGGGTTGAAGTCTTGGAGTGCGGTATCTCCGAGCAAGTGTATTGAGGCTCGTGGGACTCGAGTTCTCAGGTTGTAACGGTTTGTTAAGCACCCGTAAGCTTAACGGAAGTAGTGTAGATCAAGAGAGTCTCTCGGGAGACTAGATTAGCCACACATTGTGGTGAACCAGTATAAATCTTGGTGTGCTCCCTTTACGCTTTCTACGCTCTTTACTTTTCACGTTCTTAATTTTTTATTCCTGCGATTTCTACGATCAAACGCTATTCACCCCCCCCCCCTCTAGCGTTGGTCACTTATTCTAACAATTGGTATCAGAGCCTAACTCGCGTCCAAACTTAACCGTTTGAGAGAAAAGCGATCATGGGTTCTTGTTCTAGAAATTTGTATGTAGGAATAGGTGAAGGGCAATCAACCACACGGCCACCTCTTTTTGATGGAACCAATTATACATATTGGAAAGAACAAATGAGAATCTATATTCGTTCCACGAACTTCCAATTATGGTTGGTTATCAAAAACGGGGAAGAGGTGCCGATGAAGAAAGTTGGCGACAAGTTGATCCCCAAGACCGAAGACGAGTTTGATGCCGAGGACATCAAAAAGGTCAAGAATTATGCAAAGGCAATAAACATGCTTTATTGTGCCATAAATCCTGATGACTACCGCAAGATCTCCTGCTGCTCAACCGCCAAGGAGATGTGGGATAAACTTGAGGTGACGTACGAAGGAACGGAAGCCAAGATTGACTTCCTCACCCAAGAATATGAGATGTTCAGGATGAAGGAGCACGAGAAGATCGACGACATGTTTGACCGATTTTCCAAGATAGTCAACGATCTTCATGCATTGAAGAAGACTTACACCGACAGGGATCTTGTACGAAAGATCCTACGGAGCTTGACATCTGAATGGCGATCCAAGGCCGATGCCATCTATGAATCAATCGGCATATCAAATGTCACCATTGACGGTCTAAGAGGTAATCTAAAAACTTATGAATCTACTATTCTTAACCCGTCTTTGAATGACCAAAGGAAAGGGATAACATTAAAAGCCGTCAAAGAATCAACAATGGATGAATCAAGCGACGATGATGAAGTCAAGCTTGTCATAAAGAAGTTCTGCAAACTTCTAAAGAATAAGGAAAAGGTTGAGGATGGTCTTGTGTGCTATGGATGTGGTGAAGCCGGGCACATCAAGAACAAATGCCCAAGAAGCAGAAGGAATGCTCGTCACTTCAAAAAACAAATTAAGAGCATACATCTCTTGGGGTGGCGACTCCGGCGATGAGTCAAGCGAACAAGAGGAAGACGAAGAAGCAAACCTTTTGTTAGAATAATATACCAACGCTAGAGGGGGGGTGAATAGCGTTTGATCGGAGAAATCGCAGGAATTAAAAAATTAAAAGAGAAGTAAAGAGAAGAGTAAAAAGGCACACCGAATTTTACCCTGGTTCAGCACAACTTGTGGCTAATCCAGCCTCCCGAGAGACTCTCTCGAGCTACACTACTATCTCGTTAAGCTTGCGGGTGCTTAACAAACCGTTACAACTTGAGAATTCGAGTTACACGAACCTCAACGAATCCTTCAAAGGAAACAGACCTTCCTTTGAATCAACCGAGAGAGATACTATCTCTCAATGTGTCTAAGAACACAAGTACACTCAAGAACGACTCTCTTATAGAGTAGATTATGAGTAAACTAAGTACGCTCAAGAACAACTCAACCTTCACACAAAAATGGCTCTAGAAAGCTATGGAAAATGATGATCTTTGAATGCAATGAGAGTATAGATGTTGTGAAGTGAATTGGTGAGAAAAGCAGACCCAAACACCCCTTTTTATAGTGCCAAAATAGGCTCCAATGGACCAATGCATTAAAGGGGTGATTGGCTTGATTTATGGGATTGAAAAGATTTGGGATCTGCAGGATATTGGCTTCCCATCGATGTTTAGGACTTACCCATCGGTGGTAAGCCAATTTTCCTTCAGTTTTGAAGTCAACGGTTACCTACCCATCGATGGGTACAAGCTTCCCATCGCTGGGTGGGATTGACTTCCAAACAAGGAAAGAATCAACCTTAAATGACCTCCAACAGTCATGGCTTCCCATCGATGGTGTATACTTACCATCGCTAGGTTCCCATCGATGGGATAGGTTTCCCATCGCTGGGCAAGGTTGTTCTGCCTTGTGTTAATTTTGCACCAAGGCTTTAACAACGATGGGTAGAACTTCCCATCGCTGTTTGGCATGGTTCTGGAAATTGGTTTGGCTAAGGGACCGCTTACCCATCGATGGGAAGATCTTCCCATCGCTGGGTGGGTGGTTAGTCAAGAACCCATGGTTTTTGCCTTAACCACGACCTAGCCAACCGATGAAAAAACCGACCGAAAAATCCAAAGTTCTCCAAAATAAAAACCAAGTGTTTAAAACACTTATTTGATGTATTTGGCTAAGAAATAAAGTAAGACACTTTAAAAACCACGTCATTTGAGTGAAAAAAACGGCTAGCCAAGTTTATGCCGTTTTGAAATATTTTTGTCAAACGACCAAAAGCGAAAGATGGTTTTTAAAATGTTTTTGTTGGAGAATCGTTTAAACATGCCAAAGAGTAGAAACCAATCATAAAAAGTTGAAAACCACTCGGTTGGTTCAGACGCCAAAAACCAATGCCGATAACCGAAAGCCGAACGCCAGTTTCTGAAACCCGAACGCTGGATGGCTTGGTTTTTGGTTTGGGCGAACACCAAGTGTTTTTAATGACTTAAAAAAGTTTGAAAAACATTTTTATGATTTAAGAAATGCAATGAAGGATTTTAGCCTAAAGAGCCAAGGTGTAAAGATTGGGTTGGTCTTGATCACAATGAAGACCGACTCAACGACACTAAGACTAAGGTCTTTGTTCTTGGCCTTCTTTTAGCTCTTCTTCTTCTCTTCATTCTTCGTCTTGTATATTCAATGTTTGACTTGATCACGGCGGTTTGGCATTATCAAAACCTGTCATAAAAACAAACACAGCTTTAGTACGAAAACGTGACATGCCCGTGTTTCAACAATTTCCCCCTTTTTGATAATGGCAAACGAGATGAGGTTATGCATATGAGGAAGACTTAGAAAAAAAATGTTCCCCCTTAATAGATGCCATTTTATTAAAAAAATTCCCCCTCAATTTATGCATAACCTTGATAACTTCCCCCTTTTGACATTAACAAAAAAAAATAAAAGTGAACTTTAGAGTTGAAAAGTAAACTTTTATTCATTAAAAAAATAGGAGAAAGATCTGAATACAACAGAATTGAAATAGATAAAAGAAATGCAATTAAAGTAGGGAAAGGAGAGAAGGTAGAGTCTAAGCATCGGCGTCCTCGTTCTCGGCGTCATCATCTTCTTCGTCGTCCTCGACGTCCATAGCATCCCCGTCGACCGCGTCCTCAAAGTCAGCTTCGTCGGGGGAGGAGGACGGAGCATAGGAGTTGTCCTCCTCGTCCTCGCCTTCATAGTTCTGCCCAAGGAAGGTGGTGTCAAAGGGCGGCGGGACATAGTTGATGCCACGGAAGAACGCTGTCATGTCGTGGTGTTGGCGTTGCAGTGTCCAGTCCATCCTTTCCAGATACTACCCCATGCCATCCACGGTGACGGTTAGCCGATTCAGGGTATCGGCTATGGACTGTAAGGATGCCTTGGCGGGAGCGGGGGCTGGAGCCCGACTAGGACCTGCGCCGGTTCTGTCACTGGACTTTTTCCGGAAGGTGCTGTCTTGGATGATCCAAATCTTCGTCATCTTCGTGTCCGGGCCGACGATGTGAATGTCGGATGCACCAATGAGATCCATGACGAGGAATTCGTATGGCAAGCTCCGCTCGATGGTGATGGAGGCGCAGTCCGCCATGTGAATCATGACGTATTTCGCCCTATTGATCGAGGCGCCATGGGTGATAGCATGAACGGCCTTGAGATCCTCGTTGAAGAGACACGTGTGGCTACCGTCCCGGGGGCGAAGAATCCGGGTGAGGATGTAGAGTAGAAGACGCTTCTCCGGTGGGGCTGAGTGGATGGTTGGTGCGCCGCTGTGACGGATGAGGTTGGTGATTCCAAGCTCTCGGATGACCACCGCCTCGTTGTTGAGGATCCAATCATCGCCGCCATATGTTGCGATGTCGTCACCGTGGGTGGGCAGCCCTGCGACCTGAGCGAAGGTAGCCAAATCAATCTCTATGTCTTAAGGATTGATGCTGCTTCGAATGGTGTCCCCGTTCCGGCAGAGATTGGAGTAGAAGGCCCGGACGTAGGCGGGATTGAAGGACTGATGGCTTTTGGAGACGAACGGCCACAGACCCGACTCTTTGAGTTGATTGTCGAGGTCGTGGTATCCTTTTTGCTGGGGAAACAGCTCGGGCAGCACCCTTGGCGGTGAGATGGGCCGTTTGGCAAAGTGGGTGATGAAGCGAGTAAGTTCCTCCTCCGAGCCAAATTCGAGGAAGGATCCGTCAAGGTACGGGAAGGGTTGAGGCGCAGAGCTCGTGGCCTCGGCGGTGACCTTCTTCTTTGAAGCCTTTGTCTTCTTTCCTCTGGCCATTTGAGAGAATAGGGAAAAAAATATGAAGAATTAAGTAGCAATGGAATTTGTGATGAAAAGTGTGTGAGAGAAAGGCCAAGGGTGAAGCAAATATATAGGGAGAGGTGGCAGATCCGTTTGAAATTTGAAAAAAATAGTTGTTGGGTCATTAATTGAGGTTCCAACGGTTTTGAAAGATTTGAATTTCAACCGCCTTCCCAGCGATGGGTAGATCTTCCCATCAATGGGAAGGTTGTCACTGGAAATCGAAGGAGAAAACTGAACTGCCTCCCCAGCGATGGTAGAACTCACCCATCGATGGGAAGGTGGCTACAGGAAAACCGATAAAACCATTTTAAAAAATAGTGTCAAACACCCAGCGATGGGAGCAAGTTCCCATCGATGGGTAGGGAGGTTCTGGAAAAATTTTTGAAACTGAAATCATTCACCCAGCGATGGGATAAAAGACCCATCGATGGGTAGGGTGTTTCTGAAAAAAATTTTGGCAAAAGTTCTTCACCCAGCGATGGGATGAAATACCCATCGATGGGTACGGTGTTTCTGGAAATCCGTTAAGAGGTTTTAAAAAAAATAGAGACAATTACCCATCGATGGGAAGAAGCACCCATCGATGGGAAGAGGGGTTCTGAAAAAGAAAACTTCCCTCCCAGCAATGGTATAGCCCACCCATCGCTGGTTCTCCCTGATTTCCAGAATTCTTCACTTCGAACCGTCCCTGCAAAAAAGAGTTAGAAAACCCTCCGACGCTCAAGTTAGTAAACGTTCCAGTAAAGATAAAAGAATGATAAAATGCACAAATTAGATCATCGTGGAGTCAAGGATTCCGAGTTCACTACGAATGCGGAAGAACGACTCTTTCTCTAAAGGTTTTGTGAAAATGTCGGCTAATTGGTTGTGTGTTTCAACAAACTCAATTTCGACATCACCTTTGAGAACATGATCTCTAATGAAATGGTGCCTAATGTCAATGTGTTTCGTCCTTGAATGAAGAACGGGATTCTTCGTCAAGCTTATGGCGCTAGTTTTGTCACAACGAAGTGGAACGTGACTGATGCTAAGGCCATATTCCGCTTTGTCACAAAGAGTTTGAGCACAACAACTACCGGC